CTCTCTGAATCATGCTTTCCTCAGCTGTGAAATGAGGCAAAATTACTCCCCAACTGTCATGTGGATGAAGTGGGACACAAAACCTTACGAAGAGTTCCAATTTTATTTTTTAATTACTATAAAAAAGGCTAGGTTGCTGGGAGGAGGAAGTGGGTCAATGGAGTTTGGGTCACCCCTAAATCCCTAAAAGTGTTGCAGCCCCCCTCTTAGAAGAAACTGGGGCTGGCTCCAATGGGAGACAGATGATGCAGGCCTCCCCTGGGAGCATGCCTTTATCTTCCTGATCTGTAGATGGTATTTCTAGCTTGGAGACCTGGGGCCTTGACAATGTTGGATTCTTTGTCTTGCTGGTCTTGAGAACCACCAACTGGATCTCCTCTAATGTCAGGGTACCCAAGTAGATAGGATGGCAAGAATTCTTCCCAAGGTCAACTAAGAGCAGAGCCTGAAATAGTGTCTCCAGTCAAGTCTGACCAGGGGACATCTACAAATGGCCTTTTAGTTCCTTTTCGGTACAGGTTCCTGGGTGGCATCATTTGTCTGTCCTTGCATCCATCCACCCATCTGTTTATCTTTGCCAAACTGCCTGCTGAGCCCTAGCCAGAGACAAGCCCTATCCTTGGCACAAGGCCACATGCTAAGATGAATCAGATTGGGCCGGCTGGAGCCAGTGGGTGGAAGACAAAGGACACACCAAGAGGAGGGCACAGCAAGAACCAGGGTTCATGGGTGGGAAAACGTTGGGCACTTAGGTTAAGGGTAGGGTGGTGGCTTGAGCTCTCAGGAGGGTGCTGAAGATCATAGAGAAGCACGAAGAGGAGGCACAAACAGAGGAACAAGCAAAGAATTCCTAAAGGAGCAAGGAAGTTGTAGAGAGAATGAGAAGGAGAGTGGGAGGCAGGGGCTCAGACAGGGTCCAAGGGGAAGCTAGCTGGTGCCTGTGGGTCTATCTGTCCCTCTTGCACACTGGTTGATGTCAAGCCTCCCCACTCCCACGATGAGGCTCTGGTTTCACCCTGAGCTAGGGATTTGGATTACCAGTCCTGTCCCCTATCTATTCTAGGGCCCCTTGCCCGAAGCACCAAGAGGAAGTGGTAAAGAGTGCCTAGAGTAAGGATAAACTAGGACTCAATCCCTCCCTCCCTGGCTAGATGACCTTGGGCAAGTCACCTCACCTCACTTCACCTCCTTGATGTCTGACTCCATCACAACAGCCAATGCTGGCAGGCAGTCCGTATTGTAAGGGTAACCAAGGGGATTATATCACAGAAAGGATCTGAAGCTTAGCCTAGCACCTGCTACAGCATCTGGCAAACAGGGAACCTCCAGTTCTCGACCACCTGATGGTCAGTGTAGTTTAAAGGGGACCTTCCACCCTCAGAGAACACAGGACCTAGAGCCGAGGTCCTCAGTGGTCGCACTTCCAACTCGTGCAAGCCTAGGGAGGGATGCAATGTGCAGGACCCATACAGCCTTCAGCATGGGCTGTCTCTCTTGTCACCATCCCAGTCCCAGAGTCAAACACGTTGGGGGAAAGGGGAGCGAATTGTAAGGTGGGAGGCGGTGGGAGGTGGGGTGAGAAGTTTACCTCCTCCTGATCCCGCAAATCCGGACTCATGGCTCCGCAGGCCTTCAGGCTGGCGGGAGGGAGCAGGGCCAGCCTCTCTCACCCTGCTGGGGGGTGGGGGGCGGGTCCCCGGGGAGCTGCTCCTCCCGCCAGCCGCCACTTTAAGAAGCTGCTCCGCGGCTGCGAGCGGGGCCGGGCCGGGGCCGGAGCCGCAGCCGGAGCAAGCGGACTGAGCCCAGCCGGCAGGTGTACGGCTGCGGGGACAGCAGCGGCATGACTGGCTGGGGCTACGGCCAGGACGACGGTAGGCGCAGACCCCAGCCGGCCCCGACTCAACTGCACTCTCCCCGACCTGCACGTCCAGGGGGGGATTCATGAGCCTACAACCCCCCACGCTCCAAGACCGACCCGGTCCCAGCTCTCCTCCTGCCCTCAGAGCCCGGCCCACCTGCCTGGCCCCAGCCTGGGTTCCTGTGCGACCCGCGCAAAGTCCGCGCTACGCCCGGGCGGGCCCTCGGCCGGCGAGCGACTGGTGGTCGAGCTGTCCCGCCTCCACCTCTGCGCAGCCCCCGACTGTCACGCTCGCCAGCTCGGACCGGGCCGCCGCACACACGCACCTCCCGGGCGTGCGCGGCGCGTGGAGGTGGCCCGGGCAGCGGGGGGGAGGTGGCGGCGGAGCGTGGTGCGCGGGTGTCTGTGCGGGGAGCGAGCGCGCACGGCGTGTGAGCGGGGACCTCCAGGGAGCTGGCTCCGCGTGGGCAAGGGCGCGGTGTCCCCGGGAGAGTTTTCCTGAGGAAATGCCCAGGCTGCGGCGGCGGCTGGTACGTGAGCGAAGGGGCAGTTGGAGCCACACGCGTGTGTCTGGCTGTCTACACAGAGCAGGGTGTTTGAGCATGTCAGGTGTGAGGCGTGGGAGTCCATAGCCCACACCGGACTTCTGGTCTGACCCGGAAGACAGTTCCTCCATTGCTGCCTCAGTTTCCTTAGGAGAGGACGTGAGAAGAGGCAGGTGAGCTAGATGGTTTGAGTGGGGGTCAGGGGCACATCACCTCCCTTTTGGGTGCTCTGTCTTATCAAGCAGGGGTAGGGTGTGGGTAAGGGCTTCTCCATTTCCCTGAGATGAACAAGGAACCCCCCAAGATCCAAACTGTCAGGAGGGGAACCCAGACAGGCAGATAGGGGTGGGGAGAAAAGATCCTCCCAGCCCTGCTTCTCTGGGGAGAGACAGTCACTTTGGTTCCAGGAGCAAAGGAGACCCCCCGATCTGGACATCCAAGAGCTGAATGGAGACGTTCAGAAAAAGGGGACAGAGAGGAGCAGAGATGGAGAGAGCCAAAGAAAGGGGAGGTTGACAGAACTCATGGAAGATCATTTTACCCCAGTCCGACACATAGTCAAACCCCCGAAGTCCATATCCCCTGACTTCAGCCCTTCCTGCTAGTACTGCCCACCAGCTGGGAGCATCTAGTGGCCTCAGGGGCCTGCCCCATGGGAATAGTATCCTCAGGCTGCTTGCTCCCTCTAACCCAGCCAGATCTGGATTGTCCAGTCTGGGAGTGATGAGGAAGGGAGGAAGGGAGGAACAGAGGACAGAGGTGCCTGCATGCAGCAGTGCTCACAGGACTTCAAAAATAACCCAGTGGGGCCGGGCCACGGTTCTGAGTCATCCACTGGGGACACAGCTCTGTCGGCACCTGCTGCTGTTTTCTCAGGAAAACTTAAGAAGCCAAAAAGGGGGAGAAGCACCAGCCGGCAGTACCTCTAAAAATAGACTGTATCTCAGGATGTTCCCCAGGGAGATGCTAAGCCTCTAGGCTGCAGATGGAGCCCCTGGGAGGCAGGTGGTGGGTGCCTGTGGGTGTTCGTGCAGGTGTGTGGGTGTGTGTATGTGTGCATGTGTGTTCATGGGCATGTGTTTTGCCCTGGTCCCTTTGTGCAAACTTGGGTTTCCAAAAGGAAGAGTTTTTGTCTAAGGGTGCATACTCATGTATCAGATGTGATCAGCAGGTTATAAGTGTGTGTATGTGTGTATATGTGTGTGTTTGTACACACACATGTTCTAGGCCTGACTACTCTGGGCCTGGTGACCCATGTCACCGTGTACCTATGAAGGTCAGACCTGTGGACCTGTGGGAACAGGGCTGGGGAGGTAGCTGGAGGTAGTACAGACACACATTGTGTGTTTATATTGGTGCATGTGTGTGCCTGCACTTGCATGAATGGTCCCCATTTCACTCATCATGCTGGTTTCTACTTCACAAGGTGGTTGTAGGAAGCAAATACTTGTCACAGAATCCAGGCTATGTTGATGTGAGTTTTCTTTATTATCATCACCAACACCAAGTTTGCACTAAGACGCTGAATATTTGATAGGTCAGGTCAGAGACTTCAGATGTCTCCTTGAGTGTGTGTTGAGGGTTAGGAGTTGGAAGATTCACTTCTGGGAACCACCTCTGAGCTTGCAGCTGTGAAATATTCTCTTCCAGGCATTATCTCTCTTCACCTCCTGTCAGCCCTGGGAGGTGAATTCTAGTGAGGCCATTTCCTACACAAGGAAATGGAGGTTGAGATGGTGTAGTAGCAGATCTGGGATTAGAACTCCAAGCTGTGCAGCTCCAAAGCAGGGGCTCACTGAAAGGATGCCAGGAAGATAGTGCCCCAGGACTTCACTCAGCCTGAACCTGAGATTCTTGCTTGCCTGAATCCTTGCCCCATCCCTTCCTACAGGTCCCTCAAATTGGCACAAGCTGTATCCCATCGCCCAGGGAGACCGTCAATCACCCATCAATATCATATCCAGCCAGGCTGTGTACTCGCCCAGCCTGCAGCCACTGGAGCTTTCCTATGAGGCCTGCACGTCCCTCAGCATCACCAACAATGGCCACTCTGTCCAAGTAGACTTCAATGACAGTGATGACCGAACTGGTAAGTGGCCCCTGCCAAAGCCTGGCACATGTTCCCCCAAGGTCCTAACTCTATGTTGGGCAGGCTCAGAAGGCGCAGCTTGCTATGGTACGGAAGAACAGCTTCACTTCTCACGAGGTGTGCCTTGGGCTGAGCCTCAGTCTCCTCCTCCTCCTGGGAGTGATAAGATCACCTAGAGGTGAATGAAAACAATGAAGTGACATTTGTAGTTCCATCATATAGCAAATGTTTAAAAAAATTAATTCAGTTTCCTCCCATCCACAGAGTGCTGCAGGTCAGGTTGGTTTTCACCTGCTTTATGGCCCAAAGCCCAGCCCTCCTCTCTGCATTGTCTGGAGCGAGCCTGGCCAGGAGAGAAGGGGGCTGAAATGTTCTTTATGCTGGATCCTTTGCCCACTTTTCAGATGGGCAAATAGAAGTGCAGTGCACTAGGGAGTGCCAGGACAAGTCTGGCTCAGCTGAAAAGGCTCCCTTTCCAACTCGCCCATGACCTCAAGTTCCCAGCCACCCTGGGCCAGAGGGAGGCCTGTGGGAACTTGTGGTAGCTCCTTCCAAGGTCTCTTTGCTCTAGATCAGAGTCCAGGTTCCTTTGTGATAAATTCCTAGGCAGAGGCTCTGGAAGCATTCTGTAGTGAAGGGGTTTTGTCTTAATGACTGGCCTATGGGGATTTGGAGTGGGATAAGAAGGGAACCTGCTAAAGTTTCTTATGAGAGGAAATGTCTGCTCCCCCGCCCCCATGGAAGCACTCAAGGAAGCTTAGCTCTCAAAGAGAAAATCAAAAGGCAGGAAAGGAGAAAAACTAGAACTTTCAGGAGGAGAGTAATCTTAGTTGATTCATCCTGAGTTTCCTGGTAGGCTAGGAAAAGAGATGAAAAATCCGATATAGTTACAGCTGTAGAAGGAAGGCAAGCAGATCCTCAGGAGAGATAGACAGGCATTTCCTTGTGCTGACCTCTAAGAAAAACCTCTCACCCAGAGCTTTGGGAAGGGGACATGGGAGTCTAGATGACAGTTTATGAATGAGCAATTTTCATATGGCTGTCCTTCCAACAGACTTCAGGGGACCCTGTGGGCTTAATTCAGACATCAGCAGCTCAGTGAAAGCCACTGGGGTGGGGTCTTACATTCAGGTCTGACTGGGGCTCCCTCCCCTGCTGGAATAGCAGGCCTGAGGATTCAGGGAGGCAGTGGGGAGTAGTGACCCACTGAGGGTCACTCTGGAGGTCAGTAGTTGATGCCAGCAGAGTCCCAGTGCATAGTAAGTGTATAGTCATTCCATGTGGCAGTGCATTCCATGGTCAGATGAAGGAAGAAGCTAGAGAGCCAAGCCCAAGTGGTTAGGGAGGGTGCTCCCTCTCTGGGTTCCCAGTGAGACAGTCTCAGGCAGGGCCACAGATCTGTCAGGAAGCCCAGTTGCTCCCATTTCCTAGGGGACGGGGCAGCCTGACTGAGGCCCTGCCCAGAGCCACTATCCCCAGACTCCCTTTACCATCCTCCTACCTACCTTTGCCCCCAACAGGCCCTGCTTCTCTCATAAGCCCAGGCAGCAAGGAGGGGCCTCTGGCTTGGCCTGGCCTGGCCTGACTTCATCGAGGGGCCCATGGGGACAAGGCCCTGCCCTGGTCACCCATTATGGAGGAACTCCGAGCCTGAGGCTGTCACCTGATCCAGGGTCTCACATTCAGGCCCGGCTGGGCCTCCTCCATGCCAGATACCTTTCGACTGGAAATTCTATCAGTCTCAAGTGGCCTTGTGCATGCCCCCAGCTCACCAGCTATCGGGATGAGAAAGTCACAAAATCAGCACAAGTGGGCCCTTCCCAGGAGACCATTTATGCAGGAGATGGCTCTGAGGACACTTGAGCCTGTCACAGAGGTTAGGGACCATCAGGAGCTGTCCTCCTGCCTGGGGCAGCACCATGTGCTGGGGAAGTTCAAGGTTATTGGGAGGCAGTGTAGCCTGGTGATTAGGGACATAGGAGCTCTGGGTTCATACCATAGCTCAGTGTTTTGCTGTGTGACCTTGGGCAACTGCCTTGTCCTTTCTGTGCCTCAGTTTCCTCCTTTATAAATAGGGATAATAATAGGGTTTTCTCCTTATGGGCTACCATGAGGACTAAACAAATTAATCCTTCCAAGCCAGCCCTGGGTCAGGGCCCCAGAGATGGAAGCCCTGTTGTCAGTGGTTTCAGGGAAATCGGGCAGGAGTGGGGAAGGGGACCAGATGGAGAGCTGTACTCTGTCATTCCCAGATTTCTCTGCCACCTGCAGCGCATTGAGACTTTGGTCCTGACCTGGATTAGAGACTGCGGGAATGGTTGGTGGGACTGACCGAAGCCCAGCCAGCCCAGCAGATTTTCCACATGAAAAATGTATCCCTTTCCTGGGCTGCTGCTCCAGTGCTGGCATTGCCCCACCAGGCTGTAGGGCCTCCTGCACCAACTGCCACACCCTCATTCTGCCCACAGTGGTGACTGGGGGTCCCCTGGAAGGGCCCTACCGCCTCAAGCAGTTCCACTTCCACTGGGGCAAGAAGCGTGATGTGGGCTCGGAGCACACGGTGGATGGCAAGTCATTCCCCAGCGAGGTGAGGGTCACCATCTGCACTGGGAAAAGAGCATGGGTCAGATGGTCCAGCTGCCTGGGTTGGGGTGGCTGAAGAGGGTGAGGAGGAGCACAAGGGCCTTTGGGAGAGACACTGGCCCCTGCCTCAGCACAGAGGCTAGGTCCTGAACATTGACACCAGGAGTTTTTGGAAGGGTCTCCCCACCCCACACCCCACATGCTGCTAATAGGCCTTCAGGAACTGAGCCTAGCATTCAAGGCCCAACACAAACTCACCTTGCCTGGCCTCATTTTCTCCTGTCCCCTTCGAAGCCCCACTGAGCTGTCTGTGACAAAATCCCTATCTGTATCTGGTTCCTTCATGCTTCCAAGCTTTTGTCTATGCTGTTTCCTTTGCCTGAAATGCCCTTCCTCATGGCTTCCATCTGCTAACCCTCTTCTTATTCTTTGGAGTTAGCAGCAAGTGCCACCTCCTCAGGGAGGCAGTGCACAGAATGGCTATCATTGAATTCATAGCTAGTTCACCTGCAGCCAGAGGCTGAGCCTGATGCTTCTCTGGGGTCCCCTGGGGCTCAGGAAAGGGTTGGGCTCAGAAATGGGTGGATGCTATCTGTGGCCCTCCCTCTGGGGACCCCCTAGGCTCCCGGGAGGTTTGACATCTCCCCTGCTTGCAGAGGGCAGAAGTATGGCTGAAGTGAGGGGAGGCCTGGCTCTGAGTTCTCCTTGGTCCCTGGTGGCACTGAGCCCTGGCCGGGCCTGGCTTGTTTTTGCCCCCAGCTGCATTTGGTTCACTGGAATGCCAAGAAGTACAGCACCTTTGGGGAGGCCGCCTCAGCACCTGATGGTCTGGCTGTGGTCGGTGTCTTCCTGGAGGTGAGTGGGGACGGGGATCCAGGAGCAAGGCATGACCCTAGTTCTGAGATGCATGGGGGCTAGGCTCACACTACCCTCTCCCTGACAGACGGGGGATGAGCACCCCAGCATGAACCGCCTGACAGATGCGCTCTACATGGTTCGGTTTAAGGTGAGACTTGGCCTGCCCCCTATTGGGAGCAGCTGGGTGGGAAGAGGGAAGAAGTTAGCTCACGAGTTGGGCCCAGTCACTCCTCCATGCTGGTGGCCAACCCTGGCAGAGATCCAGGGTGAGGGTCAGCACCTCAGGGCCTTGCACCTGACCCTTCCACATCTGGTTCATGCCCCTATTGATGTCCAGCATGCAATCTGGTAGAATACAGCATGAATAACATCCTGGGCACATGAATGGTGGTTTGTCAGGCAGAGCTACTGAGGGAAGCTCAGGCAAAGATGTGAACAGCAACCAGAGAGCCCCAGAGACCACAGCTTTTATGTATAAGCAAACAGGTGCACAAGGCAAAACCTAGGCTGGGGAGGTGGCAGCTGAGGTCACAGACATTTGCTCACAATTTGCATCTGTGGGCCAAGAAGAAACTTTAATCCTCAGACATCAACAAGTGAAGAATCTACAGGGCTGGTGGTGGTGGGAGGTCTGTGCTGACTCCCAGGTCTCTACCCTGCCCAGGGCACCAGGGCCCAGTTTAGCTGCTTCAACCCCAAGTGCCTCCTGCCTGCCAGCCGGCACTACTGGACCTATCCAGGCTCCCTGACCACACCCCCCCTCAATGAGAGTGTCACCTGGATTGTGCTCTGTGAGCCCATCAGTATCTCTGAGAGGCAGGTAAGTCCTCCCAGAGCCCCAGCTGCAAACTCACGGTCCAGGCCAGGCAGGGTGGAGTCCCTTCGTCAAAGCTCCCATCTTTTGCTAATAAGTGTTTAGATTTTTGATCGGGAGTTAGCACGGTTGTTAGTCATTAGGACCTAGATACAGGCTGGGTGGGGAGATGCCTGGATCCTGGAGCTGTGCCTCCTGTGTTGGAACTAGAATGGTGCTTGCACTGCTATGGCTTAGCTAGACAGGACTGAAATTAGAACTAGGTGGAGTGGGCCCAGGTTCAAAAGTCCTATAGTGAGTAAATAACTGAGCTTGGGGCTATCAAAGAGGAGAATGAGTGGAGAAGAATGGGGACAAGACCCAGGGGCCAAGAGGAAAGACGGATAGAGCTGGCTAGGTAAGAGATGCCAGATGATGCATCTGGGGTCAGAGGACCACAGCACCCACATTCTACCCTGAGCATCCCTTCTGCCTTCTCAAGATGGAGAAGTTCCGGAGCCTGCTTTTCACCTCAGAGGATGATGAGAGGATCCACATGGTGAACAACTTTCGGCCACCACAACCACTGAAAGGCCGTGTGGTCAAAGCCTCCTTCCGGGCCTAAGCTGCCCACCTGCCCTGCTGGCCACTAGGGCATCATCTTCCAAAGGGCTTCCATGTCAGCAGACACCAAACCATCTGAGGCTTCCTGCCTGGGGGTGCTGTGGACCCCTCTTCAGCTGGCTTGCTTCTTGGCCACCCTGGAGGGTTCCTGATGGGACTCACAAGTCAGGTCTACCCTTCAGCTGCCCTGGGACCAAAAGAACCAGAGCTGAGCAGGGTCCAAGTCTGGGGGTGCCTCTGTTCTCCAAGACCCAAGGCCCCTGGGAACCTCTTCTTCCCCACTGGCAGCAGCGGCAGCCCCTACCCTGAGCTCACACTGTGATGAACGAGACTGAGCTTCCCAGGGCAGGCAGCTGGCACTGCCAGGAAGACTCAAGCAATAATTAGAGGTGGGCAGAGCTGCCCTCTCGGCATTACCTCTTCTGCAGGCCTCCGCCATGCACGCACCTCACTGCCAGGCCATTAAAAATCAGCACGCAGCCTGCTGGAGGTGACGTGGCCTTCTTTCTCCAGTCACCTGCTGCCATGGGCAGGCCCTGGCTATAGCTTATATATTATCTCCCCTTGTTCCTACCCAGCCACCAAAGCCACCACATGATAATCCATCCATGTATTAATGAATAAATTCATTTATCCATGCAACAAATACCAATTGAGTACTTTCTGGGGATATGGGGAGCCAATGGTGGGGAGTCAAGGGCACTATGTTGGAAGAGCCTGGGTACTGGGCAGGGGAGAGTTATGCAGAAGGCCAGAGGGTCTGGAGGAAGAGGAAATGGGAATGTTCCATTTGGGAAGAAATGAAATTCCAACCAGTGTTCCAAGGCAGAGATATGGGAACAGTATGTCTGAAGCAGAGGGAAGAGCAGGTGTGCGGCTCAAGAGGTGAGAGCTCAGTGTGGTTGTAAGGCTGAAGCCCTGGCAGAGGGCATGGGATTCTCTCCGCAGGCTCTTGGGAAGCCATTAAGGGTTGGTAGTAGAGGAGGGGCAAAGCCAAGGTGCAGGTGGGGACAATCCCCATGGAATGTGACAGGGAGGAAATGAGGCTGGTGGCCCTGAGGCAGAGGATAGGGTGGTGGGGATGGGGAGCAGCGGCTGGATGATAGAGATTTAGGGCTACAGCTCAAAAGGCAACTCTTGTCTTGGGGCTTTGGGGAGCCATTGGTAGGGAGTGGTGGGTCCCCAGACAGAGAGGGGTGGCTCTTTGTGGATTGAGGACCCTGAGAGGAACCGCTCATATTGGACACACAGGATTTACCGCCCCTGAAAGGGAAATTTAAAGAGATACAAACTCCAGGCCCCAACCAGATGTTTGCACAACCTGAGAGTGAGTACCCCCTTAAATTTGCCCCCTGAGTACCTTGCTTGCCTTGCTCTAGTCCCACTGTCCAGAGAGCTCCCAAGACAAGCTCACCATTGGGCTTAGAGACCCACTGGGGATTGTGACCCAAGTGAGACATGGTCAAGTGGCAGTGAGGGGAGGTGCAAAAGTGGGACAGTAAATGTGCAAGTTCGGCTGTGAAGGGGAAGAAAGGAGTGGCTAAGGGGTGATGGGAAGATGGGCAGGGGTGTGTCTGAACATTCCTAAGAAGAAGGCTGGACTTCCTGGCTGGGAGGGCACGGTGGGGCATGTCCACTCCTTATTTTGTCTGTTCCTCCTGTCATTGTCACTATACCATAAGGGTACACTCAAGCTCAGGATACTTCTGGTCTTAGAACTCTTATCTTTGAACTCAAGGACATGGGGTAGAGCAAGTCTTACTTTGTTGACCTCTCCACCCACTCCAGTGCTCAGGCCAAAACTGACCCGAGAGTGGGCAAGAGTGAGGGGACAGGAGAGGCAAGGCCCCATAGCAAAAGCTGCCCCAGTGCAAGGCCAGCTACAGGTGCTAGCCTGATTGAGAGGCGCTCTTCTCCCTCCAGCTTTCAGTCATCAGTGAGAAGGATGGGGAGGTATCTGGAAGACAGAGTTTGCTCAGTTGGGAGCAGGTGGCTTTGGCAGCAAGGGAAGTCATGCTGGCAATGTGAACTGTTAAGGCAGGGAAAAGGCCTGGGGCAGTTGTCGAGTTTTCTTCCTGTGACCAACAACTGTCACTTCCACTTTACAGATGAGGATAATGAGGCTCAGAAAGGTTAAGCAGGCAAGTGGCAGAGCAGGAGCTGAACCAGAACCCGATATGCATGATAGCAACTGGGCCCAAGGGAGGGAAATGTGGCATGATGGTAACCATCCGGAGTGGCATAATAAACCCAATGCTGCTAGCTGTGTCAGGGAGCCTGTCCATCCCATCCCAGGAATAGTGGCACTGCAAAGGGCTTAGAAAATGGGAACTGGTTTTATTATAATTATCCCGAGGCTGCCAAGAATTCTCACTCCCTAAGTCCTTTCCCTTAATTCATTTCTTAAATTTAAAACTATTTTAAAACCCAGTGGCCTCTTTATGTTATAATCACAGCCCAAGATTTGACCGTGTTACCTTCAAATGGGAAGTCCCAGCTGGAACCCAAATGCCTCCAGCAAATCTGCCCTCAAGGGACCCAGGACTGGGACCCGAATCCCCTTGCAAAGTAATAGTTCCCCAGAGATGATGGTGGGCACATTTGAGGCACCCAACTCATTAGGCTCTGCTTACTCCTAAGACCTCAGAGAGTCCCTTCCTGGGCAGCCAGGTTGGCCATTGGAGAGACTCAGGGAAGGCTGGGGACTGAGTTCAGTGGCCACAGCACACTGAGCCTGTGCCCAGGCTAGGAGCACAGGCTTCCTCCAAAACACCTCTTGGAGGACCAATCCCTGGACCCTGCAGCGGGTACCTCTTTTGGGGGTGAAGGAATACTCGAGAAGTTGAGCTCCTTCTATAGAAGACTTGCTCCCAGCTTGCTGCAGAGGCCTAGGAATGTCCCCATAGGCTGTCTGTGGACACTCACCCTGTTGGGTGTTACCTGGGGTGTTGGGAGCAATGTTACATAATTTTAGGGAAAAATCATTTGAGTAGGCCTAGTTTTCCTGTCTACAGGCCAGCTATTGACATTTCAGACATAACTGTATTTTGGCCTTGGGTCACAACTGAGACTTCAATGATCCGGCTGTGTTGTAATCTCCAGGACAAGACCACACCTGTGGGAGATGCCAAGGAGGAACCAAATCTTTATCTGTGTAGTTCCTCATTGTTCTTAGATTTCCACCGCCCCCCAGTCTTTTGTTACACCTTGTTTATCCCAAAGTGAAGTACTGAACTCTGCATTTCACTTGTTACATCTGTTTCCCCACGTACTGAGTAAAAGGTGCTGCAAGCTAGGGGGTCTTTGTCTTTGCCACCCAGAGCAGCACTGATCAGACCCAAAGCTCAGCTTCTTCTCAGTCTCATTTTTCTCCCTTTCCTGTAATTCGCCGTGTGCTGGCATGGCTCACAGGAGACTAGGACTTACTGCAGAGGTTCTGGTAACATCCCCTTCCCCTGTTCCCTACATTTGGCGCCCAACGTGGGGTGTGTTTGGGGGGAGAGACGATCACCCCTTTGCCAGGCCTCACAGAGAGCCGTACCTACATGTTCCCATGATATTAAGTTAGTTGTCCCTTCGTGGGGAAAAGATGAGACGGACATTTGTACGTCTTTTAACAAATCTATCGCAGCATCCTTAGGTACTGGGTACATAGCTTGATTTAACAACGACTTAAGTAATTTGGCAAAGTTATGCTGCTCTGTTGACAGAGACTGACCCATAGTTATAACTCAGCAAAGATAGAAAATTACCCGCAGCTGGACACTCTTACCACCAGTGTCCTTTGTTCAAGTCCGGAAATTATCCTGGGAGATCCGTGCTTTGTCTCTTTTACTCCGAGTTTGTCTCACAGGTGAGTTCACTTGTGGATCCGATTCACATCCACATTGGGCGCCAAATGTAGGGAAACTAGAGGTCTAGAAACGGGGCCAGAGGAAGGGGACTGTTCAGGAGTCTCAGGGAGCACCAGGCATCACTTTCTTCTCACATGGGTTCCAGTGCACATTCTGGCAGGTACCACCCTTGCCTCCTCCTGCTGCCCCTTCTTGACCCTGTAGGATGGACTCATGGCTGGGTTCTGGCAGTTTCCAGTTTGGCGATCTTAGGATCTAATCCATACCACTCCAGAAACACCCTGAGTGTTTTGGGCTTCATGATCATTGGAGGTTGAGCAAGTGGCTCCTTTATCTTCACCATGCTCCCCTCCTGGGACAGGCATTCTGAGAAAGGTCCATATGGCCCCAGGGTCATCTGGGCTCCCAGGAACCCTTCAGACTTTCAGGAGGGAGAACTTTCTGAAGGGCTCTTCCTCCTCCCCCTCCTCTCTCACCTCTGTCTCTGAGTGACAAGGTTTTGATTGCTCTGGGCCTGAGTGTCTCCAGAGGGCATCCTATTCTGTCTCTCTAGTTACCAAGGCCCTTGGGGAGCTGGGGACTGGACCTTGCTACAGGTGCTCTTGAGTGCTTAGGAGTATAACTCTTGAGCCAGAAGCAGCCATGGCTGGTCAGGAGTCAATAAGCCACCGAGGGCATCCCAGGGCATCCAGGGTGACACTACTATCCAGACAGAACAGCTGAGGCTAAAAAGGGAATAGTTTGCTGAAGTGAGTTGGTGGGAGAGCTAGGATTTAGGACTCCTCACCCAGTGCTTTTCACTCTATTAAGAGAGCTTTATGTATCAGAAAGAACCATGCCCCAAATAACTTCCTGCTTGCTGTCACATTGCTTAAAACCTTACCATTTGAGCGTCATTGCTGACAGTGAAGACGTGGTCCTCTGAAAGGGGCACAGAGTCAGTAACACTTTCTTAGGGGATGGTTTTGTGGCCCTTTTTTCAGTGTGTTGGAGGACTTGTTCTCTAGGTCTGTGTCTTCCCAATGTATCAGTGGAGGACCTGAAAGGTAGGACTTGAGAGAAAGCAGACTTCCCAGAAAGAGAGGTGGATTTTGTGGCCAAGCTGGGGAGTGGCCCTGGATCTCAGCTGTGGGTTACCCCTCCATGACCCTAGACTGAAAGGAGCCATGGTACTGGCACTAGACGCCATCAGTAGGGGCTGATAAACAGAAGAGCCGCCAAGACCTCCAGACCTTTGCCCATCACTGAGAGAGGAGAATGCCTAGGCTGGATTTCCCACTAGTACCGTGTAATGGGGGGATCAGAGCTTGATTTAATTGATTTATGGAAAAATAAAAACATTTGATGTTTTTCACATATCCAGGTCCATGGACCATGACCCATACAACAATGGGGTCTGTATTTTTGCAGAAGCCAATGCCTGGAAATGATTTCTCCCCTGGAGAGCAGAGCTCTAATGGTATTATTTCAAGCAGTGGCAGGTGAGCTGAAAAGTTATTTTGAGGGCAGCCAAGTCTTTGAAGTTCCGGCCCTGCTGCTAAATCTAGAAGCCTGTGGTTCTGGGGGCAGTGGAAGGGACCTGGTGTCGGGGGGGAGCCCTTTACTCCTGTGCAGCTCTGGTCTGAGGGGCACAAACTTCTCATATGTGCCCTTTGACCCCAGGATGGGAGTGGAGACCTCAATGCCAAGCTGGCTGCTTTATTGGCACCATTGGCCATTCTAGCAACTCCTAGGGGGTCCAGGTCAGGGTATCAGCATCCAGATTTGCAGTCTTTGGGGTGCCTGCCACAAGGCAG